TGTTTGTTGGATCTTAGTGGTTGGGTTTGTTTTTCAAATTCAAATTCAAATTTTATTTGTCACACACACACAACCATACACAGTATGACATGGGGGTGAAATGCTTGTAGCTGTACAATGCCCGACCATTAAATGACAGAAAAAAAGTTTTACAATATTTACAATTTACAGTTTACTACAAAAATTTACAAATTAACTTAGGAATTTACAGTAAAGAATGTGCAAATAGCAGAAGATATTATAAAGATAAGGATTATAAATTATAGGAATTATAGGATTATAGGAAATGTGTGGTGACGTGTGTGAGAGTCCAGTCTTATAGTGACGTGTTTGGGAGAGTCCAGTCCTACACCTGGTTCAGGCCCCGAATAGCCTGGGGGAAGAAGCTCCTCCTCATTCTCTGTTTTGGCCTTAAGGGAGCGGAAGCGCTTCCCAGACCTCAACAGTGAGAAGAGTCCATTGTTGGGATGGGAGAGGTCCATCATAATCTTCCTAGCTTTGGACTTGCACCGCTTGGTGTAGATGGACAGCAGGTCAGGGAGCTCTGATTGAATGATGCGTTCTGCCGAGCGCACCACCCTTTGCAGATCTCGTCTGTCCTGCTTGGTGCTGTTCCCAAACCAGGTGCAGCTGTTTGCCGTCAGGACGCTCTCGATGGTGCAGGAGTAGAAGTTCTTGAGCACCTTCAGTGGCAGATGGAAGTCTCTAAGTCTTCTGAGGAAGAAGAGACGCTGACGGGCTTTCTTAACCAGGGTGTTGATGTGACAGGACCATGACAGGTCCTGAGTGATGTGGACACCCAGGTATCGGAAACTGTCCACTCTCTCCACTGGCGTGCCACTGATGATGAGGGGTTTGTAATTCCTCGCCTGCTTTGTAGTGAAGTCCACGATCAGCTCCTTAGTCTTGCTGATGTTTAGGAGGAGGTTATTCTCCTGGCACCAGGTCTCCAGGTTCCTAATCTCCTCCAGGTAGGCCGTCTCGATGTTGTCGGAGATCAGGCCCACAACAGCAGTGTCGTCAGCAAACTTGACAATGGAGGTGGTGTCGGATGTGGCTACACAGTCATAAGTGTACAGTGAGTACAGCAGGGGGCTTAAAACACAGCCCTGAGGCACTCCAGTGCTGAGTGAGATGGAGGGGGAGACTTGTTTTCCCACCCTCACTGATTGGGGTCTGTCTGTGAGGAAGTTGAGGATCCACTGACACAGTGATGAGCTGAGTCCTAGATCCGTCAACTTGGTGAAAAGCTTAGAGGGAATTATTGTGTTGAATGCTGAACTGTAGTCCACGAACAGCATCCTAACATAATTCCCTCTGCCAGTGTCCAGGTGACTCAGGGATGTGTGGAGCAGGTGAGATATGGCATCGTCTGTGGAACGATTAGTCCGGTAAGCAAACTGAAGTGAGTCGATGGTGGCAGGAAGTGAAGAAGTGATGTGATCTCTCATCAGTCTTTCAAAACACTTCATCACAATTTAAGTCAGTGCTACTGGACGGTAGTCATTGTGGCAAGCGGGCTGTTGTTTCTTTGGAACAGGGACAATAATGGACTGTTTGAAGCACGTGGGAACCACAGCTTGGGCCAGGGAGAGGTTAAAGATCTCCGTGAACACCGGTGCTAGTTGATCAGCGCAGGCTCTAAGGACCTGGCCAGGGATTGCATCTGGTCCTGCTGCCTTCCTGGTGTTCACCCTCCTGAAGGTGTTCCTCACGGCATGCTCTGTGATGACGAATGCATTTTCTTCACTGGTGCACTCCGAGCGCGCGCAGCCCAGTGGCGTGTCTAGAAAATTTTTGTTGGGGGGGCCAGGTAGGGGCACAGATTTGGAGAAGGGTGGCAGATGTAATTGGCAGATAATGTTTAAATAAAAATTCTACCAACCATTAACCATAATTCAATAATCCTATAAACCTAATAACCGAATGCGCTTTTAACTCTTATTAGAATGAGATTTTAACCACTACGGTGCAAAGTTTTTAGATACTGCGTTGATAAAGTACAAGAGATACAATCAGTGCTTTGTCAGTGTTTACTCAGCAGTCAAGGACAGCAATATTTGCATAGTATTTTTACTGACATGTAGTGCACATATGTTTTGGGCAAAAACATTTTTGAATATTAAAATACGAACATTTGTAACAAACAATTGACAAATTAGCCAGTTCCAATGTAAAACTTTATCTGCTTATTAAAAAAAGAAGATAATCTCCTCACAAACTGGTGTTTGATTTTGAAACAGGAAAAAAGTGGGGAAACAACTGAAAAGACTAACATTTGAATAAAACCTGAAAGCAAGTAAATACTTTCTATGCTGCCTTATGGTAAACTTTGGTAATATTGATCAAGAACAACACTGGCTGATGATGAAATACAGTCAGCTGGCATGGTGACACTGCCAGTATTAACCTGCAGGGCTGGACTGGGACAAAAAATCGGGCATTTTGACTACAGACCGGCCCACCAGGTATTAAAACCATAAAGCCTTTGAATGAAAACAAATGCTGTTGTGACAGTGATGTACACTGTCTTGTTGGTATATGTATGATTTCTATACATTTTACATCAGATAAAAACTTTGGTTGAAAGATTTAGATAATTATTTAATAAAAGCGAGATATTTTAAATGAGAATAAGAAAGAAAAGTAATTTCTTTGTGCTCCACCTTTCCCTGTTAATGCCCTACCTGGCCCCCTGGCATAACTTTGCTAGACCCACCCCTGCACAGTTACCAGCTGTCAGCTACGTAAAAAAGGATCCTGGTGTTATTTGTGTCTCAGAAACAGTTCATAACTTCCCTTCAACTCATTCATGTGAACTAAAAGGTAAACCTGTTTCTCCATCACCTGTTCAGCTCTGATGATTCAGTAAGGACATCTCCTGGTTTCATCTTCATGTTTCCCTCTCACCACATATACAAACCGACATCATGACCAGCAGGTTTACAGCTGTGGCTCCAGCAAACATCAGCTGATACTTGAAATTAATATTAAATAAATTCTAACAACAGCTGATCAAGCTTAAACGTGCTGCTGTTGTTTAGCGCGACATCTGCTGGTTTCCTCTTTCTGGCACAAAGTGGGCGATAAACAAACAAGAGAGACGATCAGCTGATCATTGATCAGTTTCATGATTGAAGTAGCAACAGAAGAGGGAGGGGGAGAGAATGAGAGAAGAAGAGGCAGCTGTGCAGCGTAAACACACAGAATAAATCCAGCTTTGTCTTTTTCCATTCTAGCTAAAGTTCGGGACAAACTGCGTCTCTTCTCAGCTCAATACCAAACGCATAATATTTTCTCTGAATGAGGGACCATTCCATTTTTAAGGAGCCGTTGGCAACTCTACTAACTAACCTTATGAATAAAATAAAGTTCACTATCAGTAACATCATAGCAACTGAACAGCTGTACAGAAACTCCTTCATGCTAGCTCGGGCAGTATGAGTTATTGCAACTGACAGTAAAAAGTCAGCACAACAAAAATAAACTACACCTAAACTTAGTTTATATCTGACCCAGATAGACTGCAGGTCATAACTTCTTACCTGAAGTTCAGTTCACCTGACACTCGGACTGGCGGCTGCCTCGGGTCTCTCCTCCTCCTGCCTCCCCTTCCCTCATCCACCTGCTGGCCTCTGTGGAAGCCCCGCCATAGCCACCACCAAACAACTGAGTTATTTTTACACATCGACCTGCATCTGGCCAATCCACCATCTCTCATTGTTCATGCCCTTACAAAATAAAATAAAAAAAATAAGTCACCGGGCATATGCCCGGTATGCCCGATGGCCAGTCCAGCTATGCAACCAAATCTGCAGCTCCATACAGCAATGTTACGACTCAGATGATATCTTATAACTCATAACTCTTATGTTAGCTCCCCTCAGTAGCATACTGTCTGAAATATTCGAGGGCTCCAATAATTCTTTAAGTGTTATTTTTTCCTTGGGATTCTAATTTCACCGAAGTTTACTAAACTCAACAAACTTAATATTACTTACCGGGACATTTATTCTGTCCTCATTTTCTTTCACCGAAAAATTGTTTCCAGCGGTGCCGTCTTTCGTGCTTGGCTCTCCTACCTTTGCTAACGTGATGCACATAGCGCAGAAGCCGATGCTGCATTCACTTACACTCGGATATCTGACCTTCACCGTGAAAACATAATCGGACATTTGATATTTGATTGAATTGTATTGTTTTGCCTTTGGGGTGGCACCTGGGGTGGCCAGTCTGGTTGGGGGGGTGGCCTGTGCCCCCCCAGGCCACCCCGCTGGACACGCCATTGGCGCAGCCGTTTGTTGTTTTAATTGCTGCGGCGTCGAAGCGAGCATAAAACGTGTTCAGCTCATCAGCCAGTGAAGCATCTGCATTCATCATTGAAGAAGCTGGTCGTTTATAGTCCGTTATAGTCCGCAGTCCTTTCCACAGGCTCCTAGAGTCGCACTGTCGTAGCTGTGACTCTAGTTTTTCCCCGTAGCTCCGCTTTGCCTTTCGGACCGCGCTGCGCACGTTGTAGGACGCAGCCTTGTATAGGTCCATATTACCGGAGACAAGCCCTTCATTGTAGGCAGCGGTGCGTGATCTCAGAGCGTCGCGGATGTTTTTATCCACCCACGGCTTCTGGTTGGGAAACGTTCGGATGATAGTTCTTTCTGCTGTGTCGTCCGCTAGTTTCCCGATAAATCCCACAACCGCTTCCGTAAACATGTTGATGTCATCAGAGCTGTGCCGAAACATGTCCCAGTCTGCGTCATCCAGTGCGTTTTATAGTACACTTTAATTTCTAGGGGTGTAATGGATATAGCATTTGGCTGTTTGCCTTAATGTTATGGTCTTTTTTGTCTTTTAATTTTTGTTCTTTATTGTTTCCAAAGTTTTACTTTCCAGAATTTGTTGAACTTATGTTTTTTACAACTCTTCTGTAGATGTTTTCGACGTTGCCTCAAATTCCTCTATCACTTCTACCTCTTCTTAAAGTCAATAAAGAGTTCTTTTACTGATGGCATGAAGTTGGCTTTAATGTTAGTTGTAAGATCTTGGGGTTGTTACAGCTTCACCTTGATCACAAACTACGCCACCGTCGAACTAAAACATAACATAAAATCCAATGAGATAGTAAGACGAGTGAAGTAAAGACATAAAATGATCTATATAACATACAAACATACCTCGCTGGCTGACCCATGCTTTGAGGCAGAAATGAGCACTTTACAGATACTTTTAAGAAACAACTTTCTCTGAATTAAATTGGCTTCTCTTGCTTCAACTTGCCATGCTCACACATCAACATGGCGTGCATCTCCCTCAGGTGCACCAGTGGAACCAACATGCAGTACAATAGTTCCTACATGAGAATTTTCACAATAAATGACCTAATGGCTTATAAAATATGCATAGTGCAAAACAAAATACATTAACTGAAAGTAAGGCAGTAAAATTCCTCAACTACATCAGCGATTACTGAAATGGTCTCTAACATTTGTAAACATTGTGCAACATCTGCATGTAACATCATCTATAAAGCTATATTATGAATGAAATAAAGCTGACCTTTGTGGGATGTTTAGTGTTTTTATCATTGCATTCAATGTCGCAAACTCACAATAACAGCGTCAACGCGTTAGCGCGGTTAGCTCATTAACGCGTTAGCGCCATCCAGCCCCACACTTGCTAACGGAGATTTGCCGTGTTAATGCGGTTATGCCGTGTTAATGCGGTTATGCCGTTAACATCATTTTAATGAGATTAACGCTGACAGCACTAGTTTATTTTTATTTTTTTATTTTATGTTCTTTTGTTTGAATCTGCATGCTCAATTTGTCTGTCACTTTGCAGCGGGAGTTTCCCCAATAAGGGACAATAAAGGGTTATTCTATTTTATTCTATTTTATTTGCTTCTGCATAGAATAGGACATACAGCACATCCCAAACAAACTGGTACAAACCAGATACCCTTTATTCCATACTTTGCACCAGTACAAACAATTTGGCAGTCACATATTTTAGTCTCTAGTTTTCTTTGATGCAGCTTTTTTATTTTGCTTTGGTGAAATGCTTTTTTAAATATGATCTTCTCCAAAATGTAGTTGTGGGCATAAATTTTAATATATTTCTCAAAACAGTGGTTGGTGTATTTTATGTAATTGTGTTTTTATGAATCTATATACATCCCCCTGAGGATGCCAGTAAGAGGACATAGTTTTCGCATTACCTTAACAACAACAATAAAAACCACCACCACCAACAAAAAACGTTTACTTGCACAGCACTTACTTACTCCCAGAGCTGAAGTGAAAGAGTCATGAATCTTGTTTATTATAGTGACCACCTGGCACTCTCTCCACAAATGTGTTAGTTCGTATAAGCCTGAAGCCATGGATGTTCTTGTGTGAGTATTGATGTTACTATTTTTCTACTTTAAATGGTAAATGGTAAATGGCCTGCATTTGTATAGCGCTTTACTTTGTCCCTAAGGGCCCCAAAGCGCTTTACACTACATTCAGTCATCCACACATTCACACACTTTATGAGAGGTAAACAAATTTATACAGTGTCATGTCACACTGAACATTGACATTATTCATTTCAACATTATTCAGTGTCATGGCCTCATGCAGGAGATCAAGAAATACTTCTCCTATTGCTGTTATTCTGTGGCAGGCCAAACTTTTCAAAAAATTAATGAAGCACCATCCATTCAGGCAATCTGGAACAACAAAATAATATCACACCCATTCCAGCCCGCACTCACCAGCTCAGTTGCTTATGAAGCGTAGCATGAACTAAGTAGAACATTTAAGCGTGTCACAACATCTCTGTTTACATTTCATGATTCATTCTAAGTATTTCCTTACTCATTGTAACCTTTAAACTTTCACCAGAGGCAACAAGTGAGTGAATAAAATGTAGGATAAAAGAAAAATAAGGATGCTAGATTTGTCTTCATCATTAAAACCCTTGGAGAAATACGGATATGTTGGATATATGTGTAATATATTGCAGATACTGTTAACATGTTTATATGAAATATTAGTCTTTACCACTAGATGGCAGTAAAGGATTCGCTAGGCCAATCCAAAAACCTACACCTGCCTTTAGGCAACAGTCAGTTAAAAATAAAGAGATTCGGTTTATCCACACTGTGCTTTTATGCAAAAATAAATCTAGTGTTTCAAGCTGCCTGAGTTACTCGTCAAGTGAATAACTGTTACGTTTGCAGTATTTTTGGTATAGAATTCCTTTAATTAGAGTGGGATTGCAGCAGTTGTATATATACAAAAAAGCATATTCAAGAAATCAATATGATTTGATCAATTTTGACAACAAATATTATTATTTGTGCTTCTGACGCAATTAAAAACAATTAACCCTGCTTATAAGTAATTCTGTACTTATTTAGTACAGTTGAGCATTTTATTTTTAATTAATTAACTTAACACTATCATTGCATTGTACAGTAACAAAAATATACTAAATATTTACTAAAATAAAATGCAAATTGTTATAGTATCAGAATCTGAAAATGTACGTGTTAAGAATCCAGCATTGAAGCTATTACTTTGAAAAGGTTAGGTTGCATGCACTCAAAGAAGGGGGTGATCGAACGATTTTTCAATAAGAAAAAAACAAACAGAACAAACATGTTGGCCATGTTTGACAGACACCACCTTTTACTTGTAGTAAAATAGTGAAGGATGCGATACAAAGTTGTTCTGATGATTTGAATCCTGAAGGGAGCAGTTCTTTTTTTATTTGAATTGCAAAAAGGAATGTGATCGAGGGGATTTCAGGCTTCTAAAACGTTGGCTGAGGCTTTCAGTATTCGACAGTGCTATTGTTGTTTGCACATTTTATTTGAATTTACTTGAATATCTGAATAAGAAATGAAAAAGTGCTTTGAAGGGAAAACTCTATCAAAAAACTGAAAGCAAAAATTAAGGATTTACTGGGATATAATGGGAATGGAAATAGTAACAAACTGTAGGAGACTCAGAAAAAGAAGGGAACACACAATAATGTGGGGCAACTCAACACAAGACTGAAACAATAAATACAAAAGATGTCTTGCCCTTTTCACTTTTTTCCCTTTTTACGTAAATGGCCTCCTTGACTCCCCACTCAAACCAGCATTGCTCCCTGTGTGTATCCTCATCATTGACAGTGTCCACTAGCGTGTAGGTGTGAATAGACTGCGGAGTCCTGGCCTGACGAGTTAGCTTTTCCGTGTTGTCCCATCTGCTTAGCCAGGTCGGGTTCCCCGACGTATAAATCATGACAATCCTCCTGGCACCTAACAACGTAATCTATGTTACTCTGTTTGTGTCGAGGAACCCGATCCTTGGGGTGGGCCAATTTTTTGCGCAGTGCATTTTGAGGTTTGTAATCCAAAGAGTTTAAAGAGAATGTGTCTCAACTGCTGCAATACTCCTGACACGTAAGAGATCACTAAGGGTTTTCGCTCAGTCAGCGGTTGTCTTTCTCTCCTGGATTGGCTGAAGTTTTCATTAGGCGCCTTCCCAGCTTTAACAAATGTCCAGCTGGGATAATCACGATATGTTCTTCTGCTTTCCTGGCCACTGTAACTGTGGGGATGGTGTTCGCTCCATGTTGTAGTGTCCTGATGACACCCAATTTGTGCTCCAGTGGATGATGAGAGTCAAACCTTAAATACTGATCCATACGTGTTTGTTTACAGTATCATCAACTTTTCTTTGCATATGAGTATGCATGTACTCTAAAGAGTGCTAAAGTCTTCTCCATTAAACTTTTTGATTTTTTGCCCTGTTTTAATCTTATTTATTGATCTTTTTTGTATTTTCTTTATCACTGAGGGCACCACTGAAATTTTTGTTACGTTCTTGTAACATAATGATAATAAATAATCTAAACCTTGAGACAATTTAGTTACAGTTTAGAGTTATAAACCTTGGAGGAGTCCTTTTACCTTCAGCTAAAAGCAATCAGGTTGTCTCATAATATAAAAAATAACCTACAGACATACACTTCTTTTTCTTTTCTTTTTTTCAAAAAGTCCCATGGAATAAACCTTTAGGCTGACAAGATGTTTCAATGTCTTTAATTTAAAGATTTCTGCTTGTGATGTTGTTATATACTGGACTGAGGACCCCTTTAGGATTGGCAAAACATCCCAAACAAATTAGAACAAATCAGATCACCTTCATTCTATCCATCCATCTATCTTCCACTTATCCAGGTGAGGGTCACAGGGGGGCTGGATCTTAGTCCCTGGCGATATGGTGGATTTGAACACAGGACTTTCTTAGGCTAACCACTGCACCAACGTGCTGCCTGAAACAAGCTTTGAATATCAACAGAGCAGTGGTGTGGGTTCTGTCATTAAGAGGGAACTCAGTGTTGCTTCGGGTTTTCTGTCTTTGTTTCTGGCTCCGTTCTTTGAAACAGCTTTATTATTTTTCTTTTGTGAAAGTTTTTCCATGTATTCTTCTCCAAAATGTAGTCATGGTTGGCATAGAAAATTACATTACTTTTAATGTACTTCTCAAAATAGTAGTTGGAGTATTTCATGTATTCATCAGTCATGAACCCATATGCATCCACCTGAGGATACAGAAAGAGAGAAAGAAAAAAAATATTTTAGTACAGCACTTTTCAAAACATATTTTGCAGAATACCTTAATACAGGATCAATCTGGATCATGCACAGCACAAATCTACAGCAGAATGTCTATATATACATACATGCAGTCAACATTAAAAACATTAAAAAATATCAGAAATGTGTGTGTGTGTATATATATATATATATATATATATATATATATATAAATTCCCCACTCGCCCCTGTGGGCGGTTTATCCTTCAAGCTCGGGTCCTCTACCAGAGGCCTGGGAGCTTGAGGGTCCTGCGCAGTATCTTAGCTGTTCCCAGGACTGCGCTCTTCTGGACAGAGATCTCCGATGTTATTCCCGGGATCTGCTGGAGCCACTCGCCTAGCTTGGGAGTCACCGCACCTAGTGCTCCAATTACCACTGCGACCACCGTTACCTTCACCCTCCACATCCTCTCGAGCTCTTCTCTGAGCCCTTGGTAGTTCTCGAGCTTCTCGTGTTCCTTCTTCCTGATATTGCTGTCATTCGGAACCGCTACATCGATCACTACGGCCGTCTTCTTCTTCTACCACCACTATGTCCGGTTGGTTAGCCACCACCATTTTGTCCGTCTGTATCTGGAAGTCCCACAGGATCTTAGCTCGGTCATTCTCCATCACCCTTGGGGGCATCTCCCATTTTGACCTCGGGACTTCCAGGTTATACTCGGCATAGATGTTCCTGTACACTATGCCGGCCACTTGGTTATGGCGTTCCATGTATGCCTTGCCTGCTAGCATCTTGCACCCTGCTGTTATGTGCTGGATTGTCTCTGGGGCATCTTTACACAGCCTGCACCTGGGGTCTTGCCTGGTGTGATAGACCCCAGCCTCTATGGATCTTGTGCTCAGAGCTTGTTCTTGTGCTGCCATGATTAGTGCTTCCGTGCTGTCTTTCAGTCCAGCTTTGTCCAGCCACTGGTAGGATCTCTGGATATCAGCCACCTTCTCTATCTGCCGGTGGTACATACCGTGCAGGGGCCTGTCCTTCCATGATGGTTCCTCGTCTCCCTCCTCTTTCTTGGGTTTCTGCTGCCTGAGGTATTCACTGAGCATGCTGTCAGTTGGGGCCATCTTCCCAATGTATTCTTGGATGTTCCTTGTCTCATCCTGGACTGTGGTGCTATATATATATAGCACCACATAGCACCACACACACACACACACACACACACACACATATATATATATATATATACATATATATATATATATATATATATATATATATATATATATATATATATATATATATATATATATATATATGTGTGTGTGTGTGTGTGTGTGTGTGTATATATATATATACACACACACACACACACACACACACACACACACACACACATATATATATATATATATATATATATATATATATATATATATATATATATATATATATATATATATATATATAAAAAATATCTTCAGGGACTAAGATCATGCTCCCCTGTGACCCTCAAAAGCTAAAGGGTTGTTAACTAATTCTAGTGCCAAGTAAAAACCACAATGATTAGTGGTCATTAAAACTGATGATTTTCTCATAAATCACAACACTTGGGTGGGTCCTGGGTCGTGTGACCCAGTGTTTCAAGTTTCATGGTATTTGGTTTTTCATTGTTTATGTTTTGGTTCATTTCAAGTTTTCAAGGTTTTCATGATTTTTGTTCTGGGCTTGTTTCCGTTTTTGCTCCAGTTCAAAATCATGTTCATAGTTGCTATAGTCATTTCTGGTTTCCCATTTTAGGTCCTAGTTTAGCTTTTGCCACTGTCCTTGCTGCCTAGTTTTGCTTTTATGTAATCAACCATAATAAAGGCTTGCTTTTGTTTTTTGAAGGTCAAGGTCAAATTATATATAGCACATTTTCAGACAGACGATGTTGCACAAAGTGCTTAACAATATAAAAATGCCATTAAAAAAGAAACAATGTAAAACAATAATAACAATATAAAACAATTATAGGACAATAAAAGAATGAAAACAATAACTAAGACTGTCAAATAAGACCAAAGTCCTTGGGTTATAGTGTGTTAAAAGCCAGGGCATAAAAATATGTTCCGTTGTCCACAGTGTCTGCTTTTGGATCTCCTTCTCTAATCTCCAAGCAAACCGTGACAGACATACTTCTTTCTCCTGGATAAACTGCCTTTATAGGTTTAGATACATTGTTAGGACGCATTGTCATCGGCAGTACTAACCCTAGCCCAAATTTTGATATCAGATAGATATCAAAATTTGCTGTATCACACAGAACTGCCTTTTGAGGTGGTTTGAGCATTTGATTCGGATGCCTGCTTCACACTTCCTAGATTACGTAGTTTGGGCATTGAAAGAGGACCCAGGGCAACTTCAAGATACGTTTAACAGATTACATGTCCCGCCTGGCTTTGGGGTCCCTTGATGTCTCCTCTAATCTCCAATGAGCTGCAGGAAGTGGCTGGGGTGGGGGGAAGTATGAGGATCTCTGCTCAGACTGCTGTCCGGAATAAGATGAGCAGCAAAAAAAAAATGGACGGACAGATGAGCTTGGATGAAAACAATGCAATGCTTTCTGCTATGCAAACAGAGTAGCGTTTGTACTGATATGTTTAAAATATGTGATGTTCAGTTTTAACCAATTTGCAAAATTGTGTTAAATAATTTCTTTTAATGAAAGAGCTGCTCTGGGGTTCAGTGCCTGTCAGTATCTGTATTGTGTGCTTTGAAATCTGTGACTCTCACAATGAAATGTAAAGGTGATAGTAACTCACTGTATCACATGTGTGCAAAGCCAGGAAGAGAGTGAACGCTCCGTTGGTTGGTCTGACTAATGGCCAGAATGTTTCATTCAGATTAGGTGACTTTAGGAACCTGCGGATAAAAAAAGCTTCAATGGAAAATGAACAGAAAACAAACCAAACATATAAAAAGAAGAAGAAAAAAAATACTGACAAGTAAGGAAACACTGCATCCTTCACACTGACCTTTAAGTTAAAATAGCTTCAGGAAAGGCTGTAAATGATTGTTGGCTGTAAATGATCAAATATCTGATTGTTGGATTTATAAGAATTAAATGATTTTGAGTTCAATCACCAAAAATAATATTTTATGGTGATTGCGTGGCCCAGATATCTTACATTTTTTTAATTAGTTATTTCATAATTTACTGGCTTGGAAAAAATTTCTGCTTTCCATGAATGATAAAAAATAATTATTTTTTGCTTCCTAATGTCATTTTACCCATTTTGGCAATTCGACATTACCTTTAAATGTAAGCATCTTATTTGTCATTATTATATTTAAATAGGATAAAATCTGGTATTTTAATGCTGGGGTTTTTTGGGGGGGTTTTTTTCAGTTTTTGGTGTCTGTGTGTGTGTGTGTGTGTGGGGGTTTTTTTTTTTTAATCTAATTATTTATTTTTACCTCCGGTAACAACTGACCTGTTCCTCACGTATCGGAGGAAGTCCTGGTGTAGAACGTAGAAGCGGCTCTCATTGTACTGCCCTGAATAGTAGTCCCTTGGCCTGGTGAGGTTAAAACACAAAAGACAGGAGGGATAATTTATATTATTAGTTTTTTTTCTTTTGTTTGTTTCTTCTTCTTTTTTTATAAATTGCCTATTAAAACCTAAAACCAAAGTGGATTACAACCCAAGTTTCATGTTGTTTTGGGTGTTTCAAGAGGGTATTTGTCATTTGAATCTGTTAAGCAAGACACCTGTGCGTCTCTCACTTGGTTGTTGGTGCACTCAGCAGTGACATCTGGGAGCTGTGGCCATGGATTTTTACTAGCTAGACAAAACCACAGCTGCTCTTAAAAAGTTGTCTAATGTCAATTTAAAGCAATTAGAAAATCTAAATTTGTTAAAGAAAGAGAAAAATAACCAGTGTATGTAACAGTCATGTACATCAATGAGAAATCACAAATGAAAGCTAAAAATTTAACAATGAGCATACATCAAAACTTTCAGTCAATTTCCTGCAGATGATAATCACCATTCCTTGTCGAATTGGCCACCAGAGATCTGCTGTCCTTTGAGAAGACCCCCGAGCCATTGAAAATCTCTTATTCCCTCAGGAATCATCACATATTTTATTCCCTGCCAAGAGAAAAATTATGCAGAGTAATCATCTTTATTTTGTGGAGATTATAAAAAGTATCACAATCCTGTCTAAGCTTTAGTACCTCATCATGAGGGGCAGATTTGTATCCATATGTCCCAAAAACAGAAGGTGATGCAGTGATGGAGTACGCTGTGTGAACGTACACTGATGTTCTATTTCCTACATCTTCCTCAAAACCTTTGGTAACGGCACCGTTCATCCTGCCAAACAGACGCAATTCAGAAAATTGATCTTTGGTTTGGTTTATGTTGATTTCATTGCAATGTTCAAGTTCAGTCACTATAGTTCAAGCGACAGCATTCACACTGAAAGTGGTGTGATATGCCTTTCATCTTATTGTGCTTTTCCTTAGTTTCTGTCTTATAGCAGCATTTGTTCAAGGATTTCCTTGATGCCTTCCCATAAAGTACAAGAGAATTTTTTTAATGCAAGTTTATTTACATCAATAAAAAATGTTTTCAGCAATTAATTTCTATATTAATTTCTAGTTATTAATAACCCTTTTTGTCAGTTTTGAGTAATTTTCCCAGTATTTTGACTTAGTGGGGGAAACAAGCTAGTTTTTCAGCTCTTGGCCCTGTATGATGTCACTAAGTGCTCATATCTCAGGAGTGTTAGTACAAAAGCCTCATCCACCTGCCGTCTAGTTGTATGCAAGACTGGAAATAAGGATCAGCATAATATTAATTAGCTGCAATAGCGCCATTGTTTAGTAGGTTGCGGTACCAAAAAAATCGAACAGACTTCCATTCAAAGAGGTGAAACTTATGGCGTAAATAAATTTTCCATGAGTCACTGGCTAAAATCTCTTTGTTTTAGTGTTCTCATCCATTTTGAAATCAGTTCCACAAATAGCATGAATATTAGGTCTGTTTGATGACTGATGTGATTCATATTTCTAGTCTGGATTACCAGAGGGGGGTGTCATTTACCAGTACAGCTGAGTCACATGCCGGTAAGAGATCTTTTCAGACAATAGCTGGTGTTGTTTAGGCTTAGGAAATAACAGTCAGTCTGGGAACTCAAAGGTAATCTTGTCATTCCTCATATAAAGTCGGTTCTTTCTACTTGTATCACTTCCTTAAGAGTTGAGGTAAGAACAAGTTTTGTGAGTGTAATTGCTTGGCTTCTCATTTGAGTTTGAAAGTCTATTTCCTTCTTTGGATTTCATGTAAGGGTGTGGGACACACCACACTGGGCCAGTGTAAGCTTTCCTGTCTTCTTTTCACTGTCCTATCAACATGAAATAAAAAAAATAAATAATAATATTATTCAGGAAGAGACCTCCACATCAGCATGGGTATAAGAGCAGAGGAAGCAAAGAATTTGCATTTTTTCCAGAAAACTGTTGAAGCATCTCTCTCTGAGATGAATCTTTTAGTTCCTGTACTAATAGATCATTAAAATGTTGGTAAAGACCAAAATGATTGCGCACTTGCGCCATATTACAAAAATCATTGGGTGGACAGCAAGCTGAAATCAGACTTGCGACAACGGTGAGCATTAGGTTTAAGTGATTCCATGGTTAAGCTGGTTCAGCTTGTTCTTTATGGATAGAGGCTTTGGCATCTGGAGAGGACCATAGCTAAAAAGTGATTACACAGAGACTTCTAATTATTTCAAGCAACTCTTCCTTTCTCCAGGGATATAATTAGATCCCTTGGAAGGAGGAGAAAGACATAATGAGAAAGATATGATGAAAATATACAGCTATAAATGTTAAATGGTCACATATAGTTTGAATGACCTATTTGTGACTGTTAAATTAAAAACTTATAAATATCAATTCTTGTTTCAGCAAGGTGACAATAAACTGACTATTTGGAACTAGCACAAGAAAGCTGGTCTTCAATCACTAACCTGTGGGTAGGCATACATATAATTGTGGTAGGTGCACAGACATTTAGGCAATATCCTGTTCAGACATTTAAGTGTTTGACACTATGGTGTCAAAGTGTGAACCTCCTCCCTGTATGCATCCTCTTTGTTGTCAGTCATGAGTCGAATGATCCGTGATGTCCATGTTATGGATGGATTGACAGTTAAGTGTACAGAGCATATAGAGGAGGATCGCAATGACTCTAGTGCTCATATTGAGGCTTGGGGTATTTGCTTGTCCAGCCTGACAGCCTGGGGGCATTTGGTGAGCTAATATAGCATCTAGTAACATATTTAAGTCAGTGCATGAACTTTGTCCAACAGCTTATTTGAAACAATGTCATTAAATGGCAAGCTGAAGTCCATGAAGAGCATCCATATCAAGTGTGTTTGTCTACGACAGTAAGGGCTGTATCAAGAGCCAGAGAGTTAATCTGTTTCCTATATTTTATTGGTGTAAAGTTATTGCAACTGATAATGCTGTCTGATATGACGGGGTTTTCATCCTGTGACCAACCAGTCATATACTGTAGCTTACAATGAGGGTCAAAGGACAGAATGCACCTTATACATAAACAGTGGCTTGAAAGATAAATAAATAAATAAATAACAAGACAAGATATGGCACTGTTTCTGTCAAACATATTTGCCTCAATATTGAATTTTTTCCTGTCTTTCTTTCTTTTTTGCACACATTTGTCACATGCTGTAGGTTTTTGATTGTGAAAGTAATTTCAATATTAGACACTAAAGTAAATGCAGAACACAAACTTTTGTATATGATGATTTAATTTAGTAAGGAAACAACAAAAAAACTATCCAACCCTGACCCAACGAAAAAAAAAATTATAGTCCAGCCAATCCAGAGTTTAAGTAGAATGCAATAATTTGACAAAAAAAAGTAATTTGTTCGCCATTTGTTACCATCTTTAAACCGGAGGCTTAATATAAGCCATATATACAGATATATAGAGATGGCACATGAAAAACTAAGTTTCATGACAATTTCATTAATTTAAAAAAAGAGCTAGCTTATTCATCAGTCAGAAAAAAGTACATGTAAGTACTGTACCTATAAGTTTGGTAAGGTAGTGAAATTAAATTATTATGCTGTAGAAAAAATCAGCTGCAAGCGTCAGAGATTTCAAAATGCTTCCAGATTGTCCAGCACTGACTGCTTTAGCAAATATGGCCCAAATGTCCAGCGCACAGTTTCAATGTGTATGTGAAGTGCACCAGCAAAAAGTCTGTTGAAAAAGAACCTAAGGGCTGCCTGCAGTTTGCAAATGAATGAATCACTTAATCACTGTTTGAAAACACCGTATGACAACAGCGATGGATTATTTAGCAGGAAAGCTTTGACTGGCAGGAAAAGGAACTCTAAGGCAATGGGAAATATTTACGACATTTCTGCAACACTAGTTCCTAGGCTTCTTTGTCACAATATTATATCATAATTATTGCTACTTTTGTCATTTCTGTTTGTAAGGGTTTTCTTTTTATATGCTGCCATTGTCTTTAAGCTCTGCAACAAAAAAGGATAAAAAAAAATCTGCTCAACCAAAATAACCAAAAACACCCAAATACATGTCTGCACATGTTCCTGCTTCTTATTTCTTGGAGGTTTTTTCTTTTTCTTTTTTAAGTTGTTCAAAAGAAAGAAGTTCTTGAAGAACAACTGCCGATTTTCTGAGAGAAATGAATTTCATATCAGTGTCTGCATAAGTGTGCACAAATTATATCTCAAAGGCTCTCCACCATAGTTAAATATTGCCCTATGCATTCTAATACACAGAAATAATACATTGATTTTTTTTTTTAAGGTGTGGAATATCCTGGAATTTTAAGAGGTGTGTTCTCCTCTTGGATCCTTCTTTAGCTCTCTGACAGGTCTCATTGCAGGCTTTCTTTCTGTGCTATCTGCCTAACTCTACAATTACATATGCTTGAGTGTAAACAGAGATTAGGCAGTTTGGTTTGGCAGTTAGTTTGGCTGAGCTGCTATACTTCCTGACAGCAGCTCTCTCCACTCTCTGTTTACATATGCCCGGCATGAGAGTCTAATCCTAACCCAGTCACAACTGGCCATTGTGTTCGGTTTGCTGTGTTAAGATATGATATGTTTAGTTGTGATACATAAGAGCAGTTCTCTCTTTATACATTCAGAAAATTTTGTGAATAGAAATAACTTATAGGTTAATTTGAGTAACGTCTTGCAAAAAAAAAATTTTTTATTAGGTACACCTATTCAACCCAAACCTCTGGTAAGCCAGTCATAAGGCTTTTCAATTCAAATTTAATATAGACATGTAGAAATTGTGAAAGAAAGGTGACTTTGAAAGTGGCATGGTTGTTGGTGCCGACTGGCTGGTCTATTTCAGAAGGTTCTGAAGAGAAAAAGGACTCCAGCATAGTACTAATAAGGTTTACCTCATAAAGTACCTGGAGAATTTATGTGATGTTGTACCAAAGAAGAAATACTCTCTTTGTGATGCTTTCAGGCACTTAATTTATCTTGATCTTAAAGGTTTATAATATATTTCAGTGGTATTTTTAAATACCACTGAAATATGTTATTAGCTGGCTGTTTCTAGAGATTTCATCAGACCTAAGTGATTGTTGTGCTCTCCATTAAACTGCTCTCAAATAGGAACATTTTACCCCTAAACTACCCTTCAGTTCAGAGAGAATAGGCAGGTATTTTTTAAGCTCTTTCTTACCGAAAAATGTAATCATGAGCATCGATCTCTGCACCCACTTTTGAGCCGTTCAGAATTCCCGCAGTACCCACCACAGCGCAGTGAACACAGCCATCGCCCCCTGGTTTTGGGAGGAGCAGTGGCTCTTTTGGCTTTGGAATCAGCTTCACTGAAGCCATCACTTCTGCAAACGAAAAGAGAACGCATAAGTACAGACACTTACAGGAGCAAACCTGTTCAGACTTGTGGATGCCAGATTTTCATCCTAACATGCAAATTTCACAGCAGAATTTCATCAGACCAAATAGTGTTTTTTCCAATCTTATGTTTTCCAGTTTTGCTGGATTAGGGTTAGACTAAAACTAACTAAACTAAACTGTAGTCTTAGTTTCCTGTTTTGATAGGAGTGGCAACTGGTGTGTGTGGCTTTCTGGTAATTCAAGTTTCAATTTGTTATCTGTTCTTCTGCATACTTTAGTTGTAACAAGTGTTTATTTGCTGTTGTCTTCATATTAGTACAAAGAAATCTGGCTGTTCTCCTCTGAACTCTGAGATCAACAAGACGTTTTCACCCAGAGAACTGCCAGTGCTTCCTACCATTTTATGAATTAATTTTATTATTTTATAATTTTATTATTGTATTGTGATGGGTTATTATCATTATTAATTGACTTATGGATGGCAAAAAGTAATTTTTTAATTCACAAAAAAAAACTTTTTTTCAGTGCAGAAAAAAGCTTCTATAGTAAGCTCTAGAGATGGTTGTGTGGGAAAATTAAAATCCCAGTAGATCAGCACTTTCTGAAATATTCAGGCCAGCCCATTTGGCACCAGCAACTACGCCACACTTAAATACAAATAAATCTTCTTTCGTTGCCCATTCAGATGCTCAGTTTGAACTTCAGCAGGTAATCTTGACCATATCTATGTGTCTAAATGCATTGAGATGCTGCTATGTGATTGGATGATTAGGTATTTCCATTAAAGAGCCGTTGAACAGATATATAATGAAATGACTGTATTTTCATTGGGTGCGGTAAGAATAATTTCATGTCTTTCAATACAAGTTCAATCTTAGCTTTTTTGACTGATTGTTTAATTACTTCTTTATAAGCTTGATGAGCTTTGTCCTTTGTCTCTCTTGTGCTGGAAATAGTGTAATTACAGAACTGAAAAGTGTGTGTGACACAAAAACAATAATAAAAGGTGACATAATATTTCTTAACACTTAACTGTCTTTCTTATTGACGTGTATCTTTTTCACAATTATTTTATCAGAATATTTAGAGTTAGAATTAGGAAGAGGAAATTAAATCATAAAAAAAAAATCTATTATTCCATTACTTAGCAGTCTGTTACACAATACTTGACCTGATATCAGTTTCACAACTACCTACCATCATATTTGTACTCCATAAACCCAAAAGGATTGTTAAAATGTGAAAGGCGATTCCACTCGCTCATATTAATGTTGTCCTTGTGCAGAAACAAACGTATGTTGGGAAGAAAAGCCTTCTTGAAGTTCTCATCCTGAGAGTTTCGCAGTGATTGGGCACATGTCTGATAATAACAGAAATATTAAATTGTGAAATAGGTTAAAAAGATTTTGTGCCTGACTTATTTTAGAAACCTTTAGGAATAATTAAATGGAGTGAAACCATTAAGAAACCCAGTCAAACAGAAAATACAGGACAGTTACAGCAGAGGCAACAGACTGACTGCATTGCTGAGCTCACTTCAGCGTTGCCAGCCCACACCCATCAAGTTAATTACTACATTTGTCCTGTTTCTGTCATATTGTGTCTTAGCATGCTTACTGTTGGTCTAGGTGGGGCATCCTGGTTATAGACATCATCAAAATCCCACTGAGGAGCCTTTGTGAAATTTCCTTGGTAGAGGAGAGGTATTGGAGTCTCAGCCACGGCTCCATGTGTAGAGTATTTCGGTTCTGTCACTGGGTTTGTTTGTGTTGAATCAACATTTTTTGCTGGGCTGGTTGTGGTAGACACAGAAAGCAGTGCAGTTGTTTTTTCTTTCTGTCCCCAGAGTTTAATATCAAACGAAATGCTTTCCCATCTGAGTTCATGTTTTCCTGAGAAAGTTATCCAACTGAATCATAAATTTCACAGAAAAGCACAAATGGAAACAGGACAAAAGGGAACAAAAAGGAAAGTTCAGAATTAGCAAATCAATTTATGATTCCTTTTTTTTAAAAACAAAATAAAATAAACTACTTACCGTTTTGATAACTTTTCCTGAGATAGAATCAAAGCCACAAAAAAAACTGTCATTATAAGGAGCAACGAAAACATCCTGGATGTGTGGACTGCCATCGCTGTTGAGTGAAGGCTTCGCCGTTAAATTGAACACACATAGACACACATATGCACTCCCTTCTGGATTTGACTCCTTCTCACTGAAGTGACTGGGCTGGGCTACACCACAGTTTGCGGACAGATATGCAGTCAAATATATTCAGACACACAAAGCCAACCACACAGAGCTTAACAGCAATGTGGTTTGTTACACAACAATGGAATTTCAGAAACAGACATACCTCAGGGATTAAACCTGTTATACATGTAGTATTTTAAAACTAAAATAAAAGCCACAGCATTCCTTTAATAACGTTGAAAACTGCAAAAAGGTTCATTTGGTTTGTCTTGGGAATTTGACCGTGTGTGGGTGCGTCCTGCCATCTCCCCGCCTTGGGTGCCACACTTTTTGTTCAGCTGACTCTACTCAGCAATTAAGATAAGGAGAAAAAAGTCTTGTTGGTTTTGTAGCCAGTGGGATGTGTGTGTGTGTGAGATGACTGCTTATTCCTGATCAGTAGAGAGGAGTGTGTTTTTTGGTCATTAACTTATTTTTCAGTTTAGTGACAAACTCCTGGGTTTTGTTGTTTTCTTTCTTTAAAGGGTGATAGTGGCTTGTCTTTCACTTTTAGTTTAATTAGTAATTCAATTATTAGAGAAAATCTTTAATTTAACGGGGGGCACCCTAGTTATATTTTTTGTGCTTATTATATCTTTAATTGGTGATTCACTGTTATCTCACTACACTTTACATGTTCTATGACATTACTTAAAGATGCCACTAGGTGGCGCTTAGTGCAGAGGAGGAGCATAAACCCCCTTGGAGGCAAATCTGCAGAATAAATCCTGAAGTTGCAACTTTAAACAAGCTCATGATCTTTATTTTACTTGAGTCATTTTGAGAGTTACTAGTGCTCAAAAGGACTCATAGGTAACAGCTGAAACAGTAAGGCTGTTGTCAACAGTAGTGAAAGCAGCCGAGAGCATTGTGGGGACCTCTCTTGCCTCCCTCCCCAGGCCCTCTCCATTACAGGTGACTCCACTCATCCCTTCAACAGCGTCTTCAGTTTGCTGCCATCAGGAAGGATACTGAAGAGCCTCCGGGCCAGAACACGCAGACTGAGAGTCAGCTTCGTCCATTGGGCTGTCAGGATGCTAACCATCTCTGAATCGAGAAGGGGGGCCCAAGGGTACATCTTTCGCCATCTTACAATGCTGTGATTGTAGCCATTCCCCACTTTCTGTGAATGGTACTCATGGTCATTGATCAGTAGGCTTTGATTAGTTGTCATTGATCAATGGTCATAAGAATTTGCATACTAACAATCATGGAACTAACCCCCCAGCACATTGTTTATTCAGGGGCGCTAGTTTCCTTCACTATGCAAATGTACTGTTTATAAGGTTGGGGAAACCTGCAGGCAGCTGAGACAGAAGAAGTCACTTGGATGAGTGATGAAACGTTTCTCCCATTGAAAATGTCCTGATGAACAGAATCAACCTTTTGGGATTTACTTACCTGGATGATTAAGCACGCATCAAGACGTTATTTTATTAATATTCTTAAAATGATAGCGGCACACACGAAAATTTTTGAAGCACAAACCAGCACAAATGTAGCACAAACGTTTAACATCAATTTTGTTTGATTTGGGTAATGTGGGGGGGCTGGTTGACCATTGATGACCTCTAGAAATTCTTATTAATATCTTTAAAATAATAGCAGCACAAACGAAAATTTTTGCAGCACAAACCAGCACAAACGTTTGATACCACTTTTGTTGGATTTGAAGAACGTGGGGGGGCCAACTTCACTCACATTGGTGCAATCGGCACCACTAATGGCCTTAATTCAGGTTGAGGATTTTTTAGATCTTCCACTTCACGTTTTTGTTCCATAACCCCCAGGATTATTTAAGACAGCGGTCCCAACCCCCGGGCCTCGGACCGATACCGGTCCGTGAGTCGTTTGGTACCGGGCCACGAGAGTTGAGGCTCAGGTGTGAAATGTATAGTTTTCAGGGGTTTTATCGGTTTTCCGCATTATTTTGTTATCGTTTTTATCGTTAACTCGGTTTTCCTGGGTCTTTTCACGCGTGTTATGAATAAATCTTCTTTTTTTCGGTACCGGTACTAGTTTTATTTTGTTGTATTCATCCGCTACACCTTAAAGGCCGGTCCGTGAAAATATTGTCGGGCATAAACCGGTCCGTGGCGCAAAAAAGGTTGGAGACCGCTGATTGAAGAAATGACCGTCTTAACTGCATCCCACCTCAGCAGCGATGGTGCGCTGTGAGCAGCCCTACTTATGCAGTTCAACAAGCTGACCATGTTCAAAAAGGAAAGTTTTTTTGCTTTTGCCATCAGAACATCCTGACAGTCTGACTACCTGACAGAAAATGACAATGAATCCACAGTTTTGCACAGATTTGGCCTTTTAAAGGCGTGTGGTCCTAAACATTTGATCAGCTGTAAAACAGCCTGTCCCAGTTTAAGTTTGTTAAATGCAAGTTAAATGTTTTGTCTCACTCCCAGTTCTGCTTGTTGCATGTTGTTGGAACCTTGTTAAGATCCAACAATGCAAAAGATGATTTGACTGTATTTAATAATCGATTAGTTTCTTCTGAATGGATTAAGAATGCTTTTTCTTCCGCATTGCAATGCATCACAATTGTAAATCATTATACGATTAATTGTGTCAGCTCTATTAGATGTAAGATTGTATATTTGCTTTTGAAATGGGCAGTTTGGTTTATTGTGCTTTGTATTTGCTTTCATACTGCAAGGAAAGAACGCTAATCTACACCGAGCATCTGAAGAACAACATGCAAGTCCTCCAGCACATTGAATCCAAAACCTGTTCCAGTTCCTCAGACACCATCAGCGACTGTTTTGAAAGCCCTCTACTATCAAGTCTGGATAAAAAGAAACTTTGCCAACCACTTCAAGTATCAAGTGTTTAAAATTTTGTTTGACTGTTTATTATGTACTTATTTGTTTTTGGTTGTATTAAGTTTGATATTAATTAGATCAGTGCCTTTTTAGTCATTAATTTGATTATTAAATATTAACTGTTTAGGGCAGCACGGTGGTTAGGACTGTTGCTGCACAGCAGGAAGGTCCCAAGTTCAATTCCACAATCAGGCTGGGGTCTTTCTGTGTGGAGTTTGCATGTTCTCCCCGTGTTTGTGTGGGTCCTCTCTGGGTACTCTGGCTTCCTCTCACCATCCAAAGACATGCAGTTTGTGGGGATAGGTTAATTGATTAATCCAAATTGCCCATAACTGTAAATGTGAGTGCGAATGGTTGTCTGTCCCTGTGTGTTAGCCCTGCGACAGACTGGCGACCTGTCCAGGGTGTACCCTGCCTTTCGCCCTATGACAGCTGGGATAGGCTCCAGCGCCCCCCGCGACCCTGAAAAGGATAAGCGGGGGGCGGGTTTTGAGAAGCTTAAGAGAACAACATACTGCCTGTAACATCATTCGCCATGAGTGGTTTGGTGATGGGCATATCCATGGAGGGAGGCATGGACCTTTGTAGCAACCTTCACAACAGCAACCCTGACTGCCATTAGGTATTGGGATGAACTCCTTGGACACATTATCAGACCCTACACTGATGCAGTGGGTCTGGGGTTCCTGCTAGAGCACAACAATGCTAGGCCTCATGTGGCAATAATATGCAGGTCGTGGAAATGAATTAGCCCCTTTTCCATTATTACCCACTCATTCTGACTTGCCACGGTTTTCAGGGATTTTCATTACATCATAGCACCTGGCACCAGCTACTAACATGGTACCTGCTCGGCCGGGGTTGCAAGTGATCTGACCATGTACCAAAATGTGAAGTCATCAGACTGCATGCCACCGATTGGCTGGTTAGTGGTGTCAGTTCATGAGCCATGAGAGCGAAAATCAAAACCAGCATTTTTGAAACCCGGGAACGAAGGAAATGGCCACTAAAAATGACATATGTGCAAAATACACAAATAGTCAGTGCAGGCTAGCAATAGTTGTAAAATGAATGTAAATCTTCCATTTTCAGTAGGCCAGAACATGGCACCTTATTCCTGTTTTCTTTTGTTGTTGCTCCCAACCTAGACACATATAGGCAGAATGAACATCCTTGTTTGTAGTCATGAATTTTGGCTCTGCAGAAATTTGCTTAGAGTGAAAAGAAACCACAACAAAAACCTACAAGGCTACAAACTCATCAACTGATCTGGACCAGCATATGTGAGCTATAGGCATCAACATTTTTACTGCAAAACTTATACTACTACTACAACTAAGAGAAAGGAGGGAACAGCAGGACAAACTGTGAACTTCTAATAGGTAAAAGTTATAAAAACAAAGACACTGAATGTCATATCTCATAGAAAATTGTTTCAATAAAAACTACATTACCAGCATCAATCTCACTTTGTATCATTTCAGACTGACTAATATTTAATGACTTATAATTGATTGCTGAATAGTTTTTGAGATGACTGGGGTTGCTTGTCTCCACAGGTCCTTGTGTTACATCACACTGACTCCACCATGTGGTAGAGGAGAGGAAATTCCTGGAAGGATCAAACACTGGAGATACAATCAACACCTGTTGTGACACCTGAGGATCACAACATTGCATGTTGTATACAGCGCTTTGAGTACCCCGGGAGAGTAGAAAAGCGCTATATAAGAACCAGTCCATTTACCATTTACAATTCCACATCCAATGTGGAATGAAGGGGTGACAGGAGGAGTAAGATTGTGATCAGGTAAGCAACGCTCCACGTTTATATCAGTCGCTTAATGGCCACTGGAGCATAAAGAGCTGATTAGTCAGAAAACACTGCTGAGGTCAAGACTGTGTATGGAAATGAAACTTAAACACAACTTTGAAGTAGTTTTCATGCAGTGGCCAGAAAGTAACTCTTCTGGGGCCAGCAGGTGAGAATGACTCATACTTTACCCAGTTTGATCCTTTTTCAGGATTATAGACATTTAAAGTTTGTCGTGAAGTGTATCCTGCGTGTGTGTAAGTGTATGTGGTCAAAGTTCATGAAACACAGGGTCTAATGAAAAAAACCAACCTCCCTGTTGAAGTTCTGCTTGAGGTGGGAGCTGAAGATCTATAAGTTTAGGTCCGTCAGGTCTGAAAAATAATCAGATCATTTAAGTTTTTTTGTGTTTTGCTCTTAAGCACTGACTGATATGAAGAGAGGCATTCAAACTGAATCAGTCATGAAGCTCTCATTTGACAGCTGAGTGACAGATTTATATTATCATATTAAAGAAATATCTGGATTACATCCCACTAACTTGACACTATATAATCTCACAATGATTGTGTGTATAATCAAACCTCGTGTATTCAAGGAACTTCAGTAGGTGAGCAAACAGATTTAGCTGCTTTACATTAATATGTTTTTCTAAGGTTGTAAGTAAACAATGATCTGGGTCAAACATCAGACAATGTATTGTTGCATCTGTTTTTCCATATTGTTGATGTGTTTTTTTATTAAGAAGCATATTTAATTAAAAATAAACACATTACATTGAGTAAGTAAAGCTAAAAACATTTGAACAATTTCGTTATTTTAATTTCAAATGCAACTATTAGGTATTGTACTGAAGTCATTTATGTTATTTATGGGCCTACAGTTAATATTTTCTTAAACATGTTAAGACATGACTCACAAACCTTGTGGGGCTTCTGACTGAAAAACTCCCAATACTGTAAAATTCCAGGTATACTTTATAATTACTCATAAATGGAGTAATTTTAGTTCTTTAAGCAGCTTTACACTTCCTCCAGCTAAAAGAAATCAGTTTGTCAAGGGGAGTGCGTGTCATGGAGAGCATCACCCAAAAGCAGGACTCGGAAAACAGGACTTAAAACTCAAAAACCGCTTTATTGTTGAAAACTTGTAAAAATAAGAAAATATGAGCCAAGTGCAAATTATCTAAATGAAAACTATCATACAGCAAACCCCCAAGGTGGAACACACAGCTTAAAGGTGAACACAGCAAAGAAGAAAGGACAATGTATACAGACCAGGTAACCATGACACTCACATTCACACCTATGGCCAAAATACTCTCACCAGTTAACCTAACCCAACTAAGTGCATGTCTTCATGCAGCATCAAAGGAAGCTGATGCTACAGAGAGAATCCACACAAAGAAACCCTCCAGTTATATGTTGGATGTGAACACTTCTTGCTGTGCTGACCACTGCACTACTGTGCTGCCTGACATGGCTCTTGAATATCTTCAGTAGTGTAGGTTTTATCCTTATGGGTGGACTCAGTGTTACTTTGGCTTTTCAGTCCCTGATTCTGGCTCCGTTCTTTGATACAGCTTTATTACTTTTCTGTTGTGAAGATCTTTCCATGTATTCTTCTCCAAAATGTAGTCATGGTTGGAATAGAAATGTACTTTTGTTTTAATGTACTTCTGAGCATAGTAGTTGGAGTATTTCATGTAGTCATCAGTCATGAATCCATATGCATCCACCTGAGGATACAGAAAGAGAGAGAGAAAAAATCCTTACTTTTCAAGACATAGTTTGCAGAATACCTTAATACAGTTCCCATCAGGAAAAACAACAGCAACAACAACAATAATAATAGGTCATAATAATAATAATTAATTAAATATTCCATTCGCTTATCCTTTTCAGGGTCGCGGGAGCCTATCCCAGCTGTCATAGGGTGAGAGGCGGGGTACACCCTGGACAGGTCGCCAGTCTGTCGCAGGGCTAACACACAAGGACAGACAACCATTCACACTCACATTCACATTCACACCTAGTGGCAATTTGGATTATCCAATTAACCTATCCCTACGATGTGACAATAAAAGTGATTTGATTTGATTTGAAGCTGCATGTCTTTGGACAGTGGGAGGAAGCCGGAGTACCCGGAGGGAACACACACAAACACGGGGAGAACATGCAAACTCCACACAGAAAGACCCCGGCCTGATGGTGGAATTGAACTCAGGACCTTCTTGCTGTGCGGCAACAGTGCTAACCACCGTGCCACCGTGCTAATTAAATAATTAATGAAATAATAATTAATGAAAGTGCCTGACAGCACAATTCCAGAAGATTGATGGTTGCTTCTTCTCTATAAAAAGAACATAGCAGCACATTTTAATTTACAAATTGCATGTGAATGACCCAGAAAGACTTCAGAAACTCTGTTCAATTTGGGCAGACAAGACAGAGTGGAGATTTTTGTCCATAATGTACAATGGCACATTTAGGAAAACAAACAAACACAGCACATTATTTTTCATATTATAAACACCTCATACCAACAAGCAGGACATCAGCTTTTAGGACAGATGAGTTAAGCTGTATCTTTCAGCCACAGTGCCTGGGCACAATCATTTAGTTGAGTACAAAAAAATAATATAAAAAAAAAACTCCTGCACGTTTTTAGTTTATAACCGATATTCTCAGTGCAACGAATGTATAGGAGAATGACTGAAAAATCAAGGTGTTGCAATGGCCCAGTCAACGTAAAGAAATGCTTCAAACTTCAATGAACTGAAGCAACATTGCAAAGATGAGTGGGAAAAAAATTCCTGAACAACAATGTGAGAAACTTTGGTTATTGCTGGTAAAGACGATTCTAAAAGGTACCGAATCATGTTGAATAAATGATTACTTGGTCTGATATGTCATGTGGTGGCATTGTTCATCTGGGTTTATGTTTACGTAATTTCAAGATTGCTTTTTTTTCAAGATTCGTTCGTTTTGTGGTTTGACTGTGACATATAGATGTCATCTACTTTGCAGAAAACATGTGTGAAATAGCTTATTTTCATTAAAGAGCTGCTTTGAGGCTTTTAGTCTGTGTATTGTGTATATAGGTGTGGAAACCAATACCTCTTACACAGAAATGTAAAGGTAATATTAACTCACTGTGTCACAAATATGCAAAGCCAGGAAGAGAGTGAATGCTCCATTGGTTGGTCTGACTATTGCCCAGAATCTTTTATTCAGATTAGGTGACTTTAGGAACCTGTGATTAAAAAACAAACAAACAAACAAAAAATATAAAAATACTGGAAGGGTTAAGAGACGATCTGAAAATGAAAGAAGGAAAACTTGCACAATAAATACACATGATGGTGACGAGGGAAGTGGAAATACACGGGGAACACAGTTGGGAGGAGTTAATCGAGACAGGAGGAAGCAAAACAAAACACACTAAACACAAGACGCAGGCAAGAACACACGGCCTGACATGAGGCCGGGAGGAAGGAACCCAAAGGGGAACAAGAAAGACTGGGGAGACAAACAGAGGAGACACAAAGAGGGTAATACAGAATAATTAAGAAAGATGAGACATGGAGGGGGAGAGAGAGGCGAGATGGGCTGGGGAAAATGTATAGGAAAGCACATGACAGAGAGGGAAGAGATGGAATAAAAAACAAGGAGGGAAACATGTTGTTACAGGAAAAATGTTTCTATGTTTCTTTACCTTCTTTTAAATGTGCAAGCATGCCCTTTTGTCTATGGTTAGATTAGTTTAGAATTATCTTTTTAGACTTTCTCAGCAAAGACATACTGTTTTGGGACATATTGTTTTAGATTGTTTTATCTCTCACAGCCTTCTCCCAGCTCTCTGCTGACGAGACTAGCGCCACATATGGAGTTGTTTATTTTATTTGTTTTGTATTTTCTTATCCTGTTCTCACTGTCTTTCCTATAAAAATTACCAAGCCACTGTGCATGGTGTGAGTTGTTCTTAGCAGCTCACCCGTGTACACGTTTGATAAAGAAAGTAACTTTGTCTCATTGTGTCTTTATTTCTCCTGGGTCTTTTACAGAGTTTTCCCCCAACATTTCTTGGTCCTTCGGAGCCGGAGCGCCTCCATCGTGTCCCATCTCCGTGACCAGTCCACGTTGCTCGTCTGTCGACAGCCCACATACTAGGTGTGTGGTCAAAGACCAAGGGCGTTAAATTCGAGTCTTGGCCAACGTTCTTAGAAAGCGACCCACGGTGGTGGGGCCCGATCGAGGTGGACCAGACCCGGCGGCACTGACCAGGTAGATACAGACACACTGACACAATCTTGCGTAAAATCGTATTTTAAATTCAGGGAATTAAAAATAGCGAAAGTAGCTCGTCGAGACTGGAAGCTCCCCACTTCTGTGGGTTTAAAGTAGCTCGTCGGCTGGTAGCTTGGAGCTCGTCGACTGGAAGCTCCCCACTCTTGTGGGTTAGGTTTGGAGCTCTGAGTAGCTCCCCCAGCTGGGTCAAGGGAATAAGTAGCTCGTCTACAGAAAGACTGGCAGCTCCCCTTATTACAAGGGTTCCGATCGCGCGAATAAGTGTGAATGTGAATGTATGTGTGTATTGTTGTAACTAACGGAGCAAGCTGACTTTTCACGGTCCAATAAGAGACTGAGCCGCTCCTACTGTGTTTTTCTTTCACTGCTGTTCGCTGAAGTGCTGGTGGTTTGGGAGAACGGTCGAGTTCCGCCTCGTAAAGTTCACACCGCTTTTGGAAATAGTCCGAAAGTAGAAGGGCGTGTGAGCAACCACTCTCATTCCTCATATCAGCGAAGGTGGATAGCAGCTGTATTGCCAGTGTATAAATAAATAAATAAAAATAAATAACTAAATAAATACATAAGTAAGATACACTAAATAATAAAAATTGAAAAATGGGGAATAAAACCTCTAAACCTGTTGCCAATAATGGGCAGTATACACAAAAGTTCATTAATGACGAACAGTGGATAGAAAATAAATATCCAGGTGCAGGGAAAATCAGCGCAAGGAGATGGCGTAATCCTAAAAAGACGTCATGTCCTGGGTGGGAGGGTACGTGCAGCCCCGCAGCTTTAACACAGCTCAAAGATAGCTTATTAAAGGAAATAAGTGCAACCACAAATCTTAGAAAGGAAAACGCACAAATGAATTAACTTTCCTAGATGCATGGAAAAAAGAGCAACAGAGACGTGCTGAGAATAGAGAAAAGAGACAGAATAAAAAACAAAAGCAAAGCTGTGAGGTGCCTGAAGCAACGGCTGCAGCCCCTCCCCCCTATGTTACTGCCTCTGGATCAACTCGCAAGCAAACAGACAAAGATGCAGCTGTGAATAACCCTTATGGTTCAGTGCAGGCAGATTTAGCTAAAATGTCATTAACACCTGCACCTGAAGCAGATATAGGGGAAGATCATATAGGCAGGGAAATATGGCCTGACCCCCCAAGCCCCCCAGGAGTATTCCCATTAATAAGTTCACCTAACCCCAGATATGGTCAGCCGATTGGACCTATGGGGCATCAAGACGCACACCCCACAATTCTTGTGTTTAGACCATGGTCACATGAGGATCGCAAAAATGTTCTTAAAGATGTCCCGCCCCTGCATGACGGTTTTGACATATGGAAGAGAGCAGTTGAAGCAATTAGGACTCAGTGGTATTTAAACGGTCATGAAATGTACCAGGTACTTCAAGATCTTTTAGGTTTGAAGTTTGGCTCAGTGAAAGGCTCTTTCACTGGGGGGGCAATTAATAATCCTTTAGATTCTTTAGTGGTCGGCAACGGACCACAACCCCTGCGTGCAGGTGACCCTGAATTAGAAGGCCAACTACATAATTTCTATGAACGTGTGAAACTACAGCTGGCCCCCAAGCCAAACTACAATAAAATAGGAGAGGTAAAACAGAAAGAAAATGAAACTGCATCAGACTTTCTAGACCGCCTGCGCCCAGTTTTTAGGCAGCATTCAGGTTTAGATTATGCCGATGGCGATGCAACGCCATTCCAGCAGCAATTAAAAAATGCGTTTCTAAATGGCCTGCTCCCACCAATCAGAGCACATGTAGAGAAACATTGGGTCACAATGAACACTGGCAACCTGCCAGATGCCCTGTTACATGCTGAACACGCCACAAAAGTGCACAAACAGAAAAATAAGGCTGACGTCTTCACCATAGATTCAGAGACAGGTTTCCTTGCATTTTCGGGAGGCTATCAGAGACAGAAAGGGAAGCAAGGTAATCGACAGCAAGGCCGCAGACACAGAAACAGAGACAGCAGATATGAAAGAGACAATGCCTGTTTCAACTGTGGAAAACGAGGTCACTTTGAACGAGAGTGCAGAAGTAAGCCACAGACACATAATAGTAGGAGGAACAATGACAGGCAAAACAGTGGCGAATCTATGGAGAACAGCGACATGTGACTAGAAAACACACAAGACATGAACATTGATGAGGGAGGGGAAGTTTTTAACATAGAACAATTGCTATTAGGGTCAGAATACAAACCAATGCTGCTAATTCACGTGAACGGGCAACCAATCCAAATGTTGTGTGACACCGGAGCATGTAAAACGGTCCTAAGGCAGCCGCCTAAAAACTTACAGTACTCAAGAGATGCATTACTTGTGAAGTCAGCCACAGGCCACACCACTGTACAACTACTAACTGCCCCGTTAGAATTAATGCATACCGAAAGTGGCCGCAGGTGCTTCATTAAATGCATATATGACCCGTCATGCCCAGTAAACCTACTAGGAAGAGACGCTTTGACAGAACTCAAGATAGGCGTGATACCGGAAGAGAATGGCATGATTGCTGAATGCATGCTAAATGACAACACACCAGAGCCAGATAGCATTAACACGGCACACAGCAGCAATGTGTGTCTCTCTCAAGGCTACGGTGTCCCACATTATTACTGGACCCTTGAGTTGCCCGAGCTCACAAAACTACACAATGTGGCCCGCAAATATACACCCCCCACATCCTATTTCCAGAAACCCACTGACTATCACAACACGTTGAGATTTAAACAAACTCCAGGCCCAGACCCACTTTACGATCAGCAAGTGTGGAAGTTAGGACAACAGAGTTTGACTTTACAACACCTGTATGTCACAAAGTCGGGAAATGCAGTGTGCTCAGTAATCCAATCAGCAGCCGTGAAGGCTTTGAACCGCATGCCTAAGCCACACGTGTCTGTAGCGCATGACTATCATTCAGACTGGAAAGATTTAGGAAATGTGTTAGCCAGGGTTGAAGCAGACACTTATGAAAAAACGGAAGACACTCATGAAGGCTGGCTGCAAGGCCGCCGGACAGGGTGTTTCCGATACACACTGGGTTGGTTGGTCGCAGTCAGGCCCGCTGTACACCTAGCCGATGCCGCTGAATCACATGCACAATTAACTGAATGACATCAGGCAGCACTAGCTCAACTGCCTAAAACTCTCTGGTCTACAGGCCCTGCTGATGTAGGCCTTATAAAAAATGCAGATGAAGTAAGAGTAAAACCTCTCTCAAAACACAGACCACTGATATCTCAGTACCCACTCACTACTGAGGCTAGACATGGCATTCGCCCAGTGATAGCAGACATGGAAAAGGCAGGAATTTTAATAAAAACAAAGACAGCCACCTGTAACACTCCTATCTTTCCTGTTAAAAAAGCTATCACGGGTGCATACCGTCTAGTACATGACCTGAGAGCTATAAACGAAGTGACTGAACAAATCCCACCTGTGGTTGCTAATCCACACACTATTTTAAATCAGGTCACACCGAACGAACAGTGGTTCTCAGTAATCGACCTTTCAAACGCTTTTTTCTCAGTTCCACTACATCCAGACTCACAGCCATTGTTTGGCTTCACCTTGAGGGTCAGAGGTACACATACACTCGTTTGCCCCAGGGTTTCCAGAATAGCCCAACCCTCTATGCAGAAGCACTGAAGAAGTCAATGTCTAGCTGTAAGCTCCCACAGCTAGGTCAATACTTGCTGTATGTAGATGACATTTTAATAACCGGTCACACACAGCAGGCGTGCAAAGACAACACACTTGCTGTGCTACAGCATTTGGCTGAACAGGGCCACAAAGTCTCAAAACACAAACTGCAGCTGTGGAGTGATAACGTTACATATCTCGGACACACACTCACAGGCCAGGGCAAAACACTGCTGGGAACCAGAAAGCTGGCAGTGCAAAACACACCCAAACCTAAAACAAAACAACAGAT